TGTGCACGTGTGAGGAGCCCAAGCAGGCATAACTGTTCTCTGATCTAATTGAATGATTTTTAAAATCCTTTTAACTGGCCATTGTGACCAATATAATTCAACTCAGATATAAAAGGAACAATAAATGTTATAGAAAACGTTTTTATTTATATCAGTGGCAATTGAAATATAAACAGATACCGTAGCTTACTGCTTTGGTTGCCAGCGGAGTTTGTAGAAGCGATGATGAAGAGGCTGTTTCTGCAGTGGCATCTGTGTTTCTTCCGTAACAGAGAAAAGGCTTGTTAATAGGAAACCAAGCTCTTCAAGAAATTTTAGAACCAAGTACCATCCTCTTTACCTGCCATTATTAGCAACTGCTATCTCATTGCGGTGAAAAATGAATATCCTTTCTGTGACTTACTTCTTAGCTTTGAAGAGAAAGATTTAGGTTGCAATAAAGTAAATATTTACTCAGGAAGAAGGACGCAAACAGAATAATGCTTTTGGCATTTGCAAAGAAAAACTTACCTTCCCTAAACGCAGGGTTACAACGAGGGCGGTTGCCGGCTGCGTTACATGCTTGCTAGATACAGAGCAAATGTTCAGGGTGAACAGCTTGCACTGGATTTGCCATCGCAGACAACTTGAATGTGATTTAGTATCTGGTCTCCTGGAGACTCTGAGTTAATTCATAACACTTGTTCTTGTGGTAAGGTAACGGCATCATCTAGCCTTTGAGCAAAACTTCACTACCTTATTATGGCACGATGAGGCGCCATTTTCACAGAGATTTCAGTGCCATCAGGGGACGTAGTGCGAAGACACGCTTGTCGACTCTGTATTTAGGGAGGTGGCTTTTCAGTAGTTACCCTGGCTAAGCACAGCCCAGAAACCTGCCAAGCACGGGCTGCCGCCTCTCCAAACAGTTCCTGATAGCTGATCTGAGGGATACCTTCTTACTGCCTCCAAACTTGGGTTTGCCAGAATGAGAAGGGAAGTTGACATCGTCTGCATAGTCAGCGAATGTGTCTTCACGTGCTAGAAGCAGAGGTCCCGTTACCAAACGTGGTACGATTGTCCGCTTTTGGCGATTGGTCCTAGCGTAGAAAATGAATGAAAAGTGTTACTGTAGTAACTGGTCACTCTGCAAACTTAAGTCAGAACTTCAGACACTTTTAAGGAAATAAAAGCCTTACCAAATTTTAACCTAAATAATGAAAGTCACATTGGTTTAGAAATACGTGCTTCCTTTAAAGGACTCGGATCTGTTGCAGCATGTGCTAACAGTATGAAATTTTGTACCCACTTAAACTATTCCCCTTTTCTCCTGCTCTGGTCACTTGGCTCTGTCCAGATATCAATTTGATACAATTCAGTTCAAGCAGTACAAATCCTTTGTGAAGATTTACTGTGATTTGAAAGTAAATTTAAGCCTGTTCCTAACTGGCTGTTAAAAAATCGATAAAGCTGAAATCGTCTTGGTTAAAATGAAAAGAAGTTCCGTACACTCCCTTCTCTTTCTGGGTATTTTAGTAACTCTTTCCTCAGAACTGTAATTCTATGTGTGGGCAATCTCTGAACCAAAAAGAAGGGTAAGCAGAGCATGAGGCTGTCATTTTCACCCCTTAGCGTGTGCCATCACTGTTGGTTTAGGTCAGGCCGGATCTGCGCCAAACACCGTGCCAGGCCATCACTCAAATACAAGTTTCAGTGTTGTACCCCAGGAATAGAACAGTGCCTGATGCGAGCCCTCCCATCTGCCGTGGCCTTGGGCCATTGCCCTGACGCTACGGATTTATGTAGAGGCCTCCCTGCGAGCCTGAGTCTTGTATTTTGAGTGAAATCAGAGAGAGAGACAGAAAGCTCCTGACTTGGTATCACTTCTCACGAGTCTGCACATTTTTTGCACGGAATAATTTATGTCTGTGTGCAGTTCTGTGCCGGTGGAATTTGAACTTACGGAAATTTGGAAACAGCTGAAGCTTTTTTTTTTTTTTAAAATCACTTCTGACACCCCCATATTTGATGTGTAATTCTTAGTGGAAGAAGGTTATTAAGATGATTATTTAGTTTATGTGCTGGCACACATTATCTAGTCATTGAACTGATGCTGCCCAGCTGGTGAAAACAACCGGTTTCATTTTTTTCTTTAGAGATTGACCAGCTTTTATGTTTTAATTGAAAGCATTTCTAATTCCATAACATTTTCCAGTAAAATTGTTAAGCCTGATTTCACCATCTTACGCTTTCACTTAGAGCTGCTCAGGCTGCAAGCTGATTTAATATTGTTTTAGCCGAGTTGTTACACTGTAGGAAGTTACTATTTGCTGTTTACATGGTTCATACTTAGTGATGCGGGTGATAGCTGAAGTATTTTGAGTCTTTAACAAAGTCCATCTCTGCTTCAGGTTTATGTCCGGTTAAGGCCATTCTTCCGAGAATTCCTGGAACGTATGTCTCAGATTTATGAGGTAAAAACAATTAGACGTTACCTTTGAATTTCATTTTTAAATTACATTCACTTACTTCTATCTAAAATAATTGCTTTCCCCCCTTTAATCCACAGATCATTCTTTTTACTGCTTCTAAGAAGGTGTATGCAGACAAGTTATTGAACATACTAGACCCTAAAAAGCAACTGGTCAGGTAAAAATAAACATCTATGGATATACCTGTTGTAAGCAAACTGACTACTGTTTCCTAACAAACATGATGAAGAAAGTGTTTGTGATGTGTTTGTTATTGCAGTGGGTCACACTAAACTGATTCTTTGTGGTTTTCTCTGGTCTAAGAGTGAGAGAAAAATGAAATGAAGTGATTGAATTACTGCCTGGGTGATAAGATAACCCCAGGCAGCTTTACTCTGCCCTCTGTGGCCAGAAAACGGACCCATTCATTCTCTGTTAGGCTTGCTCACAGAAAATGAGCTCTTGGGTATCAAAAATGTGTTTGAGCTGCTTTGGAATGCACATTACGAGTAAAGAAAATGAACGTACTATGTTACTTTTAAACTATTCAAACTTGTGTTATTTATAAATTACGAATTCTGTAGTTATCTTTACAAGTGGCATGTTTTTATTTTGTACTCAATCACGACATAATTTGTTTGTGGGGTTTGTATTAGGGTTGGTTTGGTTTTTCATTGTGAAGTTCTTCAGTGAAAACTTGGGTTTGTTGACACGCAAAATAAAGTTACCGTTTGGACTGAGGCAGTGGTCGCATCTGTTGCTGTCACTTGGTGGTTAAGGCACATCGTAACTCATTTTCCTTAAGAGCATAAACTGTTCACTAGTTTTCATGCAGGAACAGTCATCGTCTTGCTTGTTTTTACGTGGCACGCACAACAGAATCCTAGTTTGGTTTGGATTGGCAACTTACTTGCCCCTGCGTTTTGAACGGGCAAACAAAACTAGGCTTTCAAAGACTTTCAGTCATTGGGCTGTCTGAGCCCAGCTGAAGCACGCAGCCAAACGGGGTGCATGAGCGAGTAAGATACTGCACTTACAGAAAATGAGTCTAAGTGTACACCCGTAGCGTTGAAAATCTTTCTCCAAGAACCCAGCAGGTATGATCCAGGGCTGCAGTTTTACCAGCGTTAGGAACAGGAAAGAGAGAATAAAGCACACAGCCAAACAGTATTCCAAGTATGTGCGGGCAGATTCATGTGATGCATGAACTTAGTTGTGATTCATGTGCCACTGAAAAGCTGCCATCGAGGCACGATGAGTTCTGACATTAGCCTAAAGGTAGGCTTGTCAGGCACTCCACACGTGTGACTCAGAATCTATATATAAATGCATTTGCTGCCGAGGCATCAGCTTATTTTCCTCCATAGCAACATTAGGAACTCAACTGCTTTATGAAATTAAGCACACTGTGTACAGCTTCTAGAAAACTTCATTTACAAATCTAAGCAGCCTTAAAGGAACTGCAGTGTAATACCACTGCGTAAAATTCAAAACCTGTCTAGTCTACAATTCAGTTTTAAATTACAATTACGTTGATATTCCATGAAATTTCAGTTTTATTCCTGGTATTTTTTTAATCTGAGTCCTTTTAGTCTAGCCACCCATTTACAATGTATTTCTTCTGTAATAAATTAAAAGGGAGTCGACTAATGGGGTAGGAAGAAGATGATGGAATGTTTTGGCCTCGAGGCTTTTTGCAAGCTCTAATAACTGAAGTAGGTTAATGGCGAGCAGAGGTAGCCTAAAAAAGAAAACATTTCTTCTGCTACTTTGTGTTCTGGCATGCAGTGGCATAGGGAGGCCGAGTACTCTTAACAGCTGGAACAAAATTAAGGGATAATAAACCAAATAAATTGGTTCCTGTGCAGAGCTAATCTCTAACTTTGGGGCCTTGCAAAATCGTTGGAGAATTGGGGGTCGTTTTGTCAGCCCATCTGCAAAAAGGGTTAGAAAGCAAGACAAATACTTGTTACATCTGAGCTGAGCTTTTCTGTTTAAATACAAACACCTGCAGAGCTAGGCTAATAAAAAATCACGGTAACTGGTAATTTCACCAGTAAAAAGCTCACAAGAGAATGGAAAAAAGGGAACCACTCTTTAAAAGGAGCTAAGGAGATTGGAAGAGAAAAAACCCGGATAACCTTTGGCAAAGTTAACTCTGCTTTTCCCCTGTGCAATGTAGATGTTGTAATTTGTCTCATTAACTAGTATTTTACTTTAATCACAGGCATCGACTTTTCCGTGAGCATTGTGTTTGTGTACAAGGAAATTACATAAAGGATTTAAACATTCTTGGTAGAGATCTTTCAAAAACGATCATAATTGACAATTCACCGCAAGCCTTTGCTTACCAGGTAAGGAGGGGGCTGGCAGCTCCCTTTTCAGAGACGGCAGGAAGCTTTCCGAAGGCAGGCAGTGCAACACTGCATTTTGATTTTTGTGCTTAAGTTCGTATTTAAGTTTACAAAACAAACTGTAACAAATCCTTCCGGTTTGTTTGCTTTTCTCTTATGTTTGTGAAGAGCTGGTCAAGCGCAACCTAAAGGACATGAACAGACTGTATAACCAGTCGGGTTTATTTCTCATCCAGCTTTTCTAAAGAAGCCACCAGTCTGCCAAGCCTGCTGCTTGGGCTCTATTGTGGATTTAGGTTTTTAATGCTTAAGAAATGCTTAAGAACAAATTAAGAAATGCTTAAGAACAAATTAAGAAATGCTTAAGAACAAATTAAGAAATGCTTAAGAACAAATCGCCAATTGAAATGACGCACAGCTGTGAAAATGCTTCTGCTTACGTGTGAGAGAGTTATACCCTGTGATTTAGATTTTCCCAGAAGTATGGTACGTACCCATTCCAGTTAGCCCTACTGCACAGATAAAGGAGTGCAGAGAGGGATCTCTTAACGCCTCACCTACGCTAAAGAAGCAGAAAATCCCCAAACCTGTTTGACTCCGCCTCGTTTGCGCAAACTGCGTGCAGCCAGGGCGCTGCTAGTATCCACGTGTGCTTTAACATGAAGTGTTCTCAAAACACCAATGCTTTTCAGTTCAGCAGAACTTTTAGAGCTACTTCTATTTCAGCTTTGATGTGGAAATTTTTGCAGTGATGTATGCGAAGGAAGGAGATACTTCGGAAGTGAATCTTAATACAAACTTCAGAGGCAAAATACATATTAATAAACTCTAGCTTGGAAACATTTTTCCCCAAAATGCTACTTCACAAGTTTTATTTTTAGATAAATTAAGTATAAATCATATGTTGATGATTTTTTTTTTTTTCTACTTTAGCTTTCAAATGGAATTCCTATAGAAAGCTGGTTCATGGATAAAAATGACAACGAACTCCTAAAATTGATTCCATTTCTGGAGAAACTTGTAGAGCTGGTAAGTGTTTCCCTTATTTGGCTCTTCCCCACCCCCTGCCCAAAAATGTCCATTAGCTCTTTTCAGTAATTTCAGGTATTTTAAGATTTTTTGAGTCGCTGAGGTTTAGACTGCTAAAAGTCACGTGTGTCTCGCTTTGAAAAGGATGCTCTGGGTGGTAATTCAAGTATGCGTATGGACTTATTTCCGTAGTAAAAGGCAGAACGTCAGTATTTCTAACTGTGCTTTTAATCAAGAAATGGAGACTTGTAACATCAGTTATCATGACATCGAGTCTGTAGGCATTTGGATTAAATAATGCCTATTGTTGGCTGTGATGCCTGTCTTTGTTCTTAAAACACAAATAAATTATTCCTTAGTTGTTGTGAGCATTAGGTAGTGATTTCTGTAAGTCTCTTGTAATGACATACATTCATGGCTTGTAGGTTGCTAGATTAACATACCGGTGTTAGAAAATTGACCCTGTTCAAATCTGAATTATAGATGTGTTCGTTCTCCTAAAACTGGCACCTGTTTTTTTTTCCTCCCCCCCCACAGAACGAAGATGTCCGACCTCACATCAGAGACAGATTTCGCTTGCATGACTTGCTACCCCCAGATTAAAGCCTTTTGTCTAGTTACTGAAGGGGGAGAAAATGCAGGACCCTTTTGGACTAAAACAAAACATTGCCATTACTGTTGAAATTTTGCATTTTTGTACCCTGTCTTGCTTTTCTTATCTTTGGTGCCCAACAATAATCAAGGGTTACAGAAAGAGACTTTCTATATCTGAGATCGAATACATTCAGTACAATACAGTACAACGCAGTAGGTAGGCTAGAACAGAAAAGTCTTTAGAACTAGTGCAACTCCAATGAAATTTTTTTATGTACAGGACATCTGCAGTTTATAAAGAATTCTGTTTCTGCCACCAGCAGTTTGACCTGTAGAAACACAGGATTTTATGATATAACAGAGATTGAAAATGGACTCTTATTTTCTCTCTGTTCGGTGCTCTAAGTGGGTTTGTAGCCACTTTTCTGTTACTTTTAAGATTCTCATTTCAACAGGAATGGCCAGTAAGAGTTGTTTTATTTTTCCTGTTAAGGTTTATAACCTTTTTACATTTTTGACCTGTATTAGATTAGAATTTCATTATGCATTCCTTTTAGTTGAGGCGCTTCATAGTTTTTCTGGAAATAGCCAAATTTTCTTAGTTTTTTGTTAAACAGTTGGATGGCCGTTTTCCTGCTTTGTCTGCCTGCATACTGTATATTTGTTTAAAAATATTCTCTAGTTTTAGTCCATGTAAGTTTCATTTAGAAAGAAAACCCCTGCATTTATATTTTCTTTCTGTAATATTCTACTGTAGTTGAAATCTTTTCAAAAATCAAGAGACTGGCTAGATAAGAAGAATATAAGAATTACTAATATTCAGAATATTTTAAACCATTGTGATGGCATGTACTCTGGACAGACAATATCTTGCAGTGGCACAAACAACTGATGGACAAGGAATACCTCAGACTATGCTGTGCATGCAGATCTTGAAAGGAGAACTAGGTCGGTCACCTCTTAGGTTTGATGCAATTCAGTTACTGCTGCCTTCTGTTTCCTCCAAGATTGAAGTGTTCTGCACAGTGGCTCAGTATTTTAAGATGTTTTGCATGGGCTGGCGGTACCTCTGTGACACTCGGCGTTACAATCAGTTTTAAACTCTGTGTGACAGCGAAGGTACCCGGCAGCAGCGATGCGTAATCCTGTGGTACAGTACACTCCCACGCCACCGGCGCAGTCAGTCTGCTATCAGAGTGGTTTTCTATGCTATATGGAAATAGTCTTTCAGCCTTGGTCCTCTAATGCAGCTACCACAAGAGGCTGATATTTTTATAATGGTGTGTACTCTCCTTTTCAGGAGGCTTTTTATGGAAGGTATAATTTGTAAAAGTTAGGATGCTTTGCCTCTCGACTGCATTAACACGCCATAGGCTCAGACTGTTTTTGTGTAAAAGATGTCACAGAACGGCACTTTTTCTAAAGAGAAGTTTGATATTTTGTATGCTTGTTAAGAAAGTACAGTATTGGAAATTAAAGGTGGACAACTGATAATTGAGAAGTATGTCAATTAATTTTTTATGTATATTACCTGTTTACTTGTACAATTTTATTGTACAAATTACATGCAGCTTCATTTTCAAATGAGTCCTTAAAATAAGGAAAATCTTTTTAGGAAAACATTTAATTTTTGTATTTTTGATTTTAAAAGGCATGAGTTATGTCAACTTTTTCCAGTGTATTAATGAAGATTTTAACTTTTCATCAGGTTGAGTGTTTTCTTACTATATTATCTGTTGTGTATGTAGCTAGCACATTGTGTCACTGAACTGTTTAAAAAACCTAGCATGTAGAGCAAGCCTGTTTTGTGGAAAATCCTTATTCATTAAAAAAAAAAAGTCATCATGGCAGATTTTCTGCAAAAAAGTGAAAACATTTGCAATTCAGAATACTGATTTTTTTTGTATTTAAAGAAAGGTATTTTGCTTGCAGGAAAGAAATACTACAGATTCATTTTAATGAGAATCTTTTAAATGTATTTATCTTTAGGGCATCTGGGCATCTTTACGCTGTTTGTCTTATGTCTTTATTGAAATAAAATGTACATAACATTACCTTTATATATGCTTTTGCGCAGACGTGTGAACCCTGTAACCATCCCCGCTCCCTCCTGGTTTTATGTCGATAAGATGGTTCTGGAAATATTTATAGATCTTGAAAATGGTCAGCTTGTCTTTGAATTGCTACATGGGTTGCCAACTGTTTTTCAGTTGTTCGTTAAAATGTAAATCTAAATCTGAGATTTTTATCAGTTTAACAGTGAATCCTTGTTTAACATGGAATTCTTCCAAATTTCTCCGAGTAATTGACACAATAGAACTGCTTTAAAATTCACTAGCCTACCAGAATGAAACGACTTTTGTTAAGTAGTTCATCGCTTTTCTCTGACTGTAAGAAGAGACGATCGTCTGTTCAGATGATGTCCTTAAACACGTGGGCCCTGTCCCTGGCTAAAACCATTCTAAAAGTGCTTTCTTCAGTTAAGGAAACCAAAGCAGACCTTGCACTTTACAGCTGTATCTGTGTTGTGACGATCAGATCAGTGAGGGAAATCAAATGTAAATTGAGGGATTTAGTTCTACAGAGATGCACACAAAAATAACAGAGACTGCTTAGTAAACATATTAAATATTAATATTGTCGTGTGCTGCAAGTCTGGCATTTATCATTCTGAACTTCCCTTGCAGAATGAGCCTACCTTCTTCAAAATGTAAGCTCCTAAAAATGTCAAAACGCTTCTGGCATAAATGGTCTTTGCGCGAAGCAAAGTTGTAATCCATCGGGTCTTAGTCTGGAGGGTGAGACTTAACCGTCCCTCTGACGCGAGTCTGGGTCAAGCTGCGCGCACCACAGCTGACACTGACACCGGGGA